CACAAACTCCGTGACATGACATGAGAATTTGATAGTTTCCTTTTATTTCTTAAAAAAAAAATCTAAACATTCAAACAAATCATCTTAGAACTTAAATCTTTTAAATAGCTTTCTTGAACAACTTCAGAAACTTGAGCCTCCACGTAAAAGAAATTAAGATCTAAGTAAACGACTAAAACTTAAAACTAAAACCTTATTTTATATCACAAACAAGCACATAAACCTCATGAAAACTTTAGTTAAAATCTTAACTAAAGGCGAAAAGAAACAGAGAGGCATTTGAACTTGGCACAACTAACATCACAATCATGCGAAACTAACTTAATATAACCAAAATCATATGATATGAGCTTTAAACTTATTATATATTCCTGTTAAAGTAGCTAAATCATCTTAAGACAAACCGATATAACCATCAAAAATATTCGGACATTTTTATTTCATTCATAAATATTTAAACTACAAAATGAGTTCAAAACTTTACCTAGAAAACTGAAAATTCAGCAGTGAAAATGTTGAATCCAACAGTAGGCCAACGAACTCAGCAAAGCAAATTCAAACCAGCAGCAATAGCGGTGAAAAGGACCAGTGAAATCACCCAGAAGACACCTTGAAACTCTACAACCTTTAAAGAAGAAAGAACTACAAACTAACTTCAAACTATTGTATTTTTTTTGGACCCGTTTTGCTCTAAGTTCCTATCTACTTTAATGTATTCAGCTGTTGATTTTTTGTTCAACGATATATGTGTTCAAGCAACTCTCCCCCCTCTGTATGTGTAAGATTGAGTCCCTTTTATAGGAGAAAAACAGCCCTTTCAATAGGCAAATAAAGTCAGATTTTCGGACAGATTTTGGTTCACCAAAATTCTGTCCAAAAGACTGACATTATGTGCTTAAACATTGTTCAAGGCCTGTCCCAAAGGTGAAAGGACAGCCTGAAAATCTACTGTGTCAGAAGCAAGGAGAAAAAATATCCTTTCAGCTACCCTACTAGTAAAAGTAAGCTACTATTACCCTATTTTATGATAAAATAAATTAAATTTCAGATTTTAACCATCAACAACAAACTACTTGCTCAACACAAATCAAACTTGGACAACTATGAACTGACAAAGTATAGATGAGACTAAAAACGTAATTGAACTAAGTATTCAAACCAACTTGATGGGAATGAATTCGATTTGTGCAAACTAATTACTAAACAAACAACTAAATTCACAAACTAATGCTCAAAACAGAACGAGCATCGTTAACAATCGGACAACGACTAATAACAACTAAATAATCGACTAACTAAGTGAACGATTTAACTAATACACTAAAGATCATGTTTAAATCAATAACAAATCTAACAAACCACTAAACTAAATAGAGATAACTAATTAAATAAATCTAATTTGAAACTCTAATTAAAAAGAATTAACCAAAACAGAAAAATCAAAAATCAGAAACTAATCTACTAATATAAAAAAAATTAGAAATTAATTAAAGAGATGACGATTATACCTAACAAGTATGCTTGAAGCCGTTCGAGTCACGAGAAGACGCCGGAGATTCTAAAAGGTGAATACCCGACTCCGAAACGCATGTTTCTTTAGGGTAGATGCTAGAACGAAATGCGTTTCAGCATCTCGCCAAAAGAAACGAGTGTCTTTGAGTCAAAAAATAGCTAAGATGGGAGTTCGGGGCATTTTGGCGGTGGTGAGGCAGTGGAGCCATGGCAGTGGTGAGGAGCGGGGCGGCGGCGACGGGGATTTTGGAGGTGAAATGGGTAGGAAAAGATAGGTCTCATGGAGCTCTATCCATTCATGTATGTGTTGTAGGGTGGTGTTGGCCGGAACTTCAAGAATTTGGACCAAAAAGTGTCGGCTAAAGTTTCCTAGATCTAAAATTCAAGGAGTTTGAGGGGGTTTTGAAGGAATTGATTTGGAGATATGGGAAGAGGAGGTTATGGAGATTATATGGTGTTAATTTGGAGGTGGTCCGCCGCCAGCGGGTGATTTCCGGCGGCGGCGGCTGAGAGAAGAGAGAGAAGAGAGAGAGAGAAGAGAAAAAGAGTTATGGGGGAAATGAGGGAATTTTTCAGATTTTTGAGGCTTTAAATACCTCTTGAGAGATCAAATATAGACCATTAGATCAAGGGGTGATCAATGGGTGAGATTTGATCTTGGGTCACTTAATGAAACGACGTAGTTTTGAGGCAAAACTACGTCGTTTCGGACCCTTTCAAGGGCAGCCCCTTATCTTGCACTTTTGGCCACTTTCTCTTTCAAATTTGGCCCAATGTCTTTCTTAATCCTACTTATTAAACTAAATTTACACAAGCAAATAAATTAATTAAGTAACTTATTCAAATGATCAATTAACTAGATTAATTCACCAATTGAATAGTTATTTAATTCCTAAAATGCACAAATAAAGAAAGAACTATTGTTTGGTATTTTTATGATAGAAAATATGCAATCAAAGACACAAAAATTGGGAAATATAATTAAAGCAACAAAACACTAATGAATTTAGGAGGTGTTAAAACAGTACAAAAATTAGGTACTCACAGAGTTGAGATTTTTGAGAAAATTTCAACACAAAATTTTTCGTTCAATTTGTTCGTGATTTTCATTGACCAAAGAGTTGATAGTAAAGATCGGTCTTGGTGTGGATATGCATAGAGTCTTCGCACTATCGAAGAATTTTTGAAACGAGACTCTCTTCACAAAGTACGCCTTAGATCATATCTTTGACATGTAAATAAATTTTAAACACGAAAAGATCTTCCTATGATTATTATTGTCTTTCGCTGCGTGTTATGAACACCTCCCGCAATCCTACATATATGTGATCCGTTTGATAACAGTTATTTTTAATGCAATCTTTTAACGAAGGACAGGAATAATGTTCATTCCACGTTCTAGGTACCGGTAATTATGATTCGGTTGCCAACATCAAGAGGTCTTTTTGTATAAACCTCCACGAATAATTATTTTTTTTATTTATGGTTTTCCCACTTCTCACAACTGTTCTTTCTACATCTCCGAATATTTGGTGCCAAATTGTCGTTCCTTTCTTTATTTCTTTAATAATAGAGTTGGCTATGTTTGTAGCATTGATTGCAGGGGCGGATTAGGCTTAATTATGGGGCACGTGAATTTATGGTCTCTCCGTAAAATTAGATATTTTATATACATATTTTTTGAAATTAATATAATATTAATTGTTGACACCCATGTTCTAAAAGATTGAATGGTGCACTTGGTTGAATGTTGAGTTATTATCCAAGAGGTATAGGGATCAAATCCCACTACATACATTTTTTCCTCATTTTTTTTAGCAGTGCACTCATGTACTAGAAATCCTAAATCCGTCTTGTAGAAATCCTATATCCGCCTCGATTGTACAAGTTCGTGAAGAGGGTGGACGAATGGAGCCTCGATTGTACAAGTTCGTGAAGAGGGTGGACGAATGGAATGAGGGAAAACTAGGGGCGGAGGTAGTATAGTAGTTGCGGGTTCGGACGAACCCAGTAGCATTTGCTTAAACCTTGTATTTGTATTAGAAAATCCATTAAATATGTAAAAATATTTAATTGTGAACTCATTAACTACAATGAGCTAAGGTTCAATGATAAGATTGGAACCCATTACCTTCAAATTCTGGCTCCGCCTACGAGGAAAACCTACTTTTACGAAACTCGAGAGTATATTTGAAAATTTTCCTTAGAATTGAACTGTAAATTTGCATGAAACAAAACAATAAAGAAGGGGGGAAATATTGTTAATTGTAAAAGAGGTACCCATTTGTTACGAGTTGAAACTAAAAGGATTTGTGTGTAAATTTTTATTTCTTCAAAAAATGTGTGCTCTTTTTTTGTCGGCAAGTGCCACCTGCCCAATTTCTCTAATAAAAAAAAGAGGAAAAAAAGAAAAAACTCACTCACGAGTGACGATTAGAGACAGCGTGGAGTGGACCTTTTCAAAGCTGAGCTAATGAATCACGCATCTCCTTTGAGCCGTGGGACCCACTGTTTTTGACATTTTCCCAAGTCAATTGCTCAAACAATGCCTATTTTGTTCTCTAATTAACAACCTCCTAAGTTCTAACTACCTACCCAAAATTGTAGTGGAATGTATAACATTTATTTACCCCGAATCTTTGAGTTCGAGCCCTAAGAATAAACAAAGAAATACCGGTATGGAGCACTTTCTCTAGATTTTGAGTTTGAGCCCTTAGAAATAAGAATAGACCAAAAAATTCTAGTAGAGAGTACTTTCCTTTTAATTGTTCTTATGCAACGTGAATTCGAATTAGTCGGAGTCCCAAAGGAGATAAGATTACCGGGTGAAAAAGCAAAAAATAACCTCCTCATTTTTGGGTATTTTTAATTAGTATTATGATTAACTTTTGTATTAAAGTTATTCACATTAAATAAATAGTGATACAAATATGTACTAATACTATTGAGTATTGACAATGAAAGTATCTTGATGATAAAACATAAAAATTGAACAAGAGAAACTACTCCTGATTAGTATTTTATAAAGCCAATTAAAACTCTAAATTCTATCTACAAAATTGAAAATAAAAGGGAAATATGGTGTACTTAAACATTCAATGGCCAATGCATTCAAAACTATTTAAATAGGAAGTAAATTTTGTAGCAAATTCACGAGATAACTTCTCAATTTATATTATTATGAATGTACTTAAAATACCAATATAAAATAACATAGGACACCAAATTACTATATGAAAGATTTTTTTAAACAAATAGGATTGTAGACTAGTAGCGACTAGCGTTCAATGGTAAATATTTATTTACCCTTAATCAGATATTTTGAGTTCGAAATGTAGTTATAAAATCGTCTTTAATTGGAAATTTTTACCCTCAAAAGTGGACTTTTTAATGCAAATTTAGAAAAGAAAAAAAAAGGCCAAAACTCACTTTGTGTCTATAAATAAGCACGGAGTAGTAGTATTCCACTTATTTGTCTCTCCCTCAAAGTCTCTTTTCATCTCTCCAAAAGTCAAAGCTTGTCTTTTTCTATAACTGTCCTCTCTCAAACAAAGTCAAGGCAAAAAAAAGGGCCAAGTAGAGAGAATATGGAAGCAGATTGGGATCTACACGCGGTGGTCAGAGGCTGCACCGCCGCCGTTGCCACCACCACCACCACCTCTAGCAGCAGTAGTACCATTACCACTATTTCTAGCTCTACAAATATTCACCAAGTTGACAACTTTATTTGTTTTCAAGATTATTTTGAGCCAAAATTTGACACCACAAATGTTGTTCAAGAGTTGCATAATCTTTACAAGCCTTTTGTTATTGGAGGATTGCAAGATCTATCACCCCATAATCAAACACTAAAACAGCAGCAAAAACTACACAATCATCAGCTTATTACAGGACTAATTCAGCCCAAGCATTTCACAACTAGTAAAACTAGTGCGTCCCGTCGTACTTCACATACTCAGATGAGTCCAAGAATCCAAAAAAGGTAAATTTTAATTTTCTATTTATAGTTTTTCTTATAAGGGAAGTGTTGTAGCAACAATAGTTGTCTTCCTGACCAATAACCAAGGGCGTACGCAGAAATTTTTGTAACCGATGTCGAAATTTATAGAAGAACGAAAATAATAACTTTAATTATCATACTTTTAAACAAGAAATAGTCTTAGTCTACTGATTTTGTTGAGTTTTAGGTTAGAAAATGTGTTAAGGTTTGACACTCTAACCTCTTAGAACAAAATAAAGCACACAGTCAACACACCAAGAGACAATTATGTCAAGTGATATCAATTTTTCCTACTTATATGTTTTCTCACAGTATTAATACATATATTTAGTAAAACATTTCGACAAAGTGGTGTCGTGTGACACCGCTTCATTAAGCGTGAATCCGCCTCTGCCTATAAGTCACGGGTTAGAGTCGTGAAAGAAATCACTAATGCTTACATTAGGGTAAATTGTCTACATCACACCCCTTAGGGTACGATCCTTCCTTGGATCCTGCATGAATGCAGAATGCTTTATGCATCGCGCTGCCTTTAATTTTTCATGTAGAAAGTATTAAATTTCTTTTATGGAAAAAGTAGACCTTTATCAGTTGGCATATACCCATATCACAAAGTCAATCTGCTTATTTATTAGTTTATTTATTTATTTTGGTCGTCACACATTTATTTGAATTTTTTTCCAGGAAGAACAAGCTGAAGAAGGTATGCCAAGTGCCTGCTGAGGCTTTGTCTTTAGACAAGTGGGCTTGGAGAAAATATGGGCAAAAACCCATCAAAGGCTCCCCATACCCTAGGTTGGTCCTTTTTAATCTTTCTTTTTGTACATTTTTAGGTTCCTTGTATGAAATAGCTAAGAGCATTATTTGGGGTTGATTGGTTCACATAATAGTTATGGCGGGTTTGTGATATTGAGATTATTTATGCAACATTTAATAATAAAAATAATATTATATATGAATTACTTGCTCTAAAATAGTTTAATCTTTGTCTTATTGATATATATTCTTATTTCACATTCTATCATCTATAAAATTATAATAAATATTTGCATAACTTAATGTTGTTAATACGTTAACCAAACGTTATATTGGTTATGTTTGTGATTATTTTTTTATACGGCCAACCGAATAATGTAATACCTTATGCGAGATTTTATGCTACAATGAAATATCATCAACCAACCTTAAAGTTCTTATAGATTAAAGAAAAAGAGAGCTAGCTTTTTGAAGTGTGGTTTTATTTCCTTGTGGATTAACAGGGGATATTACAAATGTAGCAGTTCAAAGGGCTGTTTGGCCCGAAAACAAGTGGATCGAAATAGATCCGACCCTAACATGTTCAATATCACCTACACTTCAGAACACAATCACCCTATGCCTACTCACCGGAGTTCCCTCGCCGGAATCGCCCGCCAAAAGCCGGTGAACTCAAAAGCCAGTTCTGCAGGTGAAACTAACAAACCCACCACCTCATCACCGACGTGCCTCTCTCCGGTACCGGAAAATCAAGAATGCAATAATTAAGGAAGAGAAAGAAGATAGTTTTTAGGACGACGATGAATTTGGCGTTTCCAGTATAGCATTGGATGACTTTCCGAGGACTATGAAGTTTCAGATGGTGGCAAATAACGCTGCAACCACCGTAGACGGCAGTGGTTGACTCAGCTGAAAAAGTCAATGTTATATCATACTCTTTTTCAGCAAATTACTGAGTACATAAGATATTTCACCACCACCTCAGTGAACCAAAGGTTGCAGAGAGCAGCCCAAACTAAAGACTTAAGGTGCATGGGATTCAGTAAACAACTTTTCTTACAGATACAAATCGATTTTTTCTCTACTGCAGTTCTTTCGAACAAGAAAGCTTCATCTCTGGGCATTATAGATCATAGAACTTGTAAGGAACGGAATACATAGCGTAGCATCGAGCACCAGTGGTCTTCTTTTTTGTTAAACGAAATATGATTTGTATATTCTCTCTTGAGCTCAAAATGTTTTTAATATCGTATCTTAAATCATTTAAATATCACTCCAAAATGATTAGGCACAGAGTTTTAAAAAAAAATAAGACTTTTGAAATTTGTGGTCCTAAACAAACCAAAAGGGCTCAAAGTATTTGTGTGGTTATAAACACTTCTCATTAAGGATAGAATTGTAAGTTTAAGACAAATTATTTCCAAATTTTAAAACGGGTCATTCTTTTACATAAACTGGAACGGAGTGAGTACTAATAAATGAACATGAGCTGAGCATTTCATGATGTCAGGATGGCCGAGTGGTCTAAGGCGCCAGACTCAAGTTCTGGTCTTCGCGAGAGGGCGTGGGTTCAAATCCCACTTCTGACAAATGTTTCCTGATTTTAGTTGGTGAATGATTCTAGAAGGCGTGAGTTTGATGAATATAAAATATATACTTTTAATATCCCATTTTAAATAATATACAAATTTTGCCTCTTTCTAACTATTTTTGCAGAAAAGAAGAAGAAGAAAAATAAATATGAATAACCTAAGGAAAAGACAGAATGCTCGATGAAAGTCTGTTATGGCAAACACAAGAACTGGAATGGCAAGATGGGAGCATATAATTGAAGTTTCGACGTGTTCAAGCCCCCATCCTTAGACGTATCCAAACTCCTATCTTGGACATATCCAAGCTCATATCTTCAAACGTGACCAAGCTCCTAGTCTTAGATACATCTAAGCATTTAACGCCTACAAGACTTTTCTATAAATATAATGCAAATTTGGCATCGGAGAAAATGAGGAGAGACGTAGCAAGAGAACCGCTTTTCTCTAAACTTTGGTCTTAACTTCTTTCTTTAACTATTTCAGTTTCTTTTCATAAATTTTTGAATTTTCTAAGAGTATTGGTAATATTCTAGAATTCTTTTTTGTTGTGAAATTTAAATACTCCATAATGGAGTAGTCTCGTTTGTTGGGATAGTTGATGAAACATGGTAAATATTTTTATAATATTATTTCAATTATAATACATCCTTTGCTTGATTTTTTATTTATTTTCATACTGTGCTGAAATATGGTTTCTAATTAATAATTATTATCCCTTCAATATATTTTTTTTATGTTATTCTTATATTAATTTTGTAATTCTCGCGGATCACAATTAATATAATAACCAATGAATAAAATAGTAGAGTGAGAATAAATTTTGTAATGCTCTTATTTCAAATCTGTAATCTTGTTTGTCTCGGTTTTATTTAATCTCCTTTGGGGCTGTACTATTGGCTTGTAGCTATCCTCCATGAGGTTTCTGTGCGTACAAACAACTGGATTAATGCCTTTGATATCTTTTACAGTCCACCCCAAGGCTCCTTTGTGTGCTTTCAATACTTCGATCAATTTTTCTTCTTGTCTTGTAGTAAGAGAAGATGAAATAATTACTAGAAATAATTCTTCCTCAATATAAATATATTTTAAATGAGATGGGAGAACTTTGAGTTCAATTTTTGGTTGAACTTGTTCTTGTTGCATCTGGTAATGACCCGACCTGTCGTTTTGAGTATTTTAGCCCTGATCCCCTAATTTATGCTCCGTCTATATTATATTATGATTACGTAACTTGCCGGGGTGGTTGGTTTTGATTTCGGGTGAGTTTAGAGATTTCGGAAGTTGGAAATAGGTCTGTAATGTCATTTATGACTTGTGTGCAAAATTTGGTATCAATCAGAGTTGTTTTTGTATGAATCGGCGTGGGTTTCGGAATTCGGAAGTTCATAGGCTTGAATTTGGATTACGATTCGTAGAATTTGTGTTGTTTGATGAGGTTGTGGCCTCGAGTAGGTCCGCTATGTGTTTTGGAACTTGTTGGTATATTCAGACGGAGTCCCGGAGGCCCCGGGTATGGTTCGGATCGAATTCAAACTAATTTTGGACTTAGCTTCATTGCTGAAGTCCCACGGAATCGCGGGTGCGGAAGGTGAAGTGAAGAAGCAAAAGGAGATCCTAGGGCTGGGCTCGCAGGTGCGGACACCAGGGTGCAAGTGCGCCTCTGCAGGCGCGGCCATTTCCTCAGCAGAAGCAGAACTGGAGGAGGGGCTTTGGGAAGGACCGCATGTGCAGTCCCTTTCTCCGCTGAAGTGGGCTCTCAGGTGCGAACCACGGTCCGCAGAAGAGGATTCTGAGGACTTAAGTGGAGTTTACACCTGCGATGGTTTTTTCCGCATGTGCAGCGTCGCAGAAGCGACCCAAAGGCCGCAGAAGCGAAAGTCGCTGGGCAGAAAATAGAATTTTCGAGGGTTTGCTTCATAATTCATTTTGGGACTTTGAGAGCTCGGTTTGGGACAAAATTTTGAGGGTTGTGCAAAGGAATTGTTGGGGTAAGTATTCTTGAATCGTTTTTGATTAATTCCCATGAATCTAGTATTAATTACATCTTCTAATTAGTGTTTTGGAGTTTGAAATTTGGAAAAAATGGTAGAAACTCCTTAGGTTGAACCTTTGGGTTTTGAATGGCGAAATGAGATCGGATTTGGATAACTCTTGTATGGTTGGACTCGATATCGAATGGGTGTTCGAATTTTATAATTTTGGTCGGGTTCCGAGATGCGGGCCCGGGTTGACTTTTTGGGGCGATTTTTTAATTCTTTGCTAAGATCATAATTTCATTATTTAAATTAGTTTTCTATAATTATATTTATAATGTGAAATTATTTATGCTATATTCGAGCCTTTCAGAGTCGGAAAAATCGAGGGAAAGGCCTTCTAGTTGATTGATTTAGCGTGATTTGAGGTAAGTGACTTGTCTAACCTTGTGTAGGGAAAATTTTCCTTAGGATTTGGTATTGTTGTGATAATTGTGATTTGTGGAGGCCTGTACGCAATGTGACGAGTGTGGATAAATATTGAAATTCTAATTTTAGCTATGTAGTTTCCTTTTCATGCCTTATTTAAGTTACTTTAGCAGGTTATAGTCATTATGTTTAGCCTAACTTCACATGTCTAATGTCTTATTTGAAATTTGTACTACATGTTTAGTTGAATTACTTGCTTCCTTAATTCCGTATTTATTATTTAACTGTGGAATTCTTTACTTGAAATTGCTATCCTTGAAATATCTTGTTGTTGAGTTACAAAGGCCGTGGTTTCTACCGAGGCAAGGTATACGTTGTGAAATGCCATTTTAATTAGTTGTTATGTTTGACATTCGTGTTATTGTTGAGTTAATTTTTTGGTTGCTTGCACGAGGTTTCTGCCATGTTGTTGTTATTGTTTGCATGAGGTTTTTGCCATGCTGTTATTGCTATTTGCACGAGGTTTCTGCCGTGCCGTTGTTATTATTGATAATCATGCAGTGGTATGAGGTGTGGGTGTTAAACGCATGCGGTGAGATAAGGTGAGCTTGATACACATGGCCAGTAAGGGAATTACTAGAAGCTATATTTTGTGATAAGGTAGGCTAAAATACAGAGTGCTATTTCGGAAAAAATAATTTTTTAAAAACTAAATGTAAAGGCCCCCGCCGTGATATAAGGAAAGATTGTGAGTTACTTTTATGATTCGGGACTACGAGGCGGTACCTTGGGAGTGCCCCTGTTGATCTTTTCTCAATTTGCTGTATTTGTTTGATTATTATTTCCTTAACATGTAAAATCCTTGTCTTCATTGTGATTGGTTGCTTGAGATTCACGGTTATGATGTCTTTCTCCACACATGTCATAAGCCTCATAATTACTTGGTTGTTGTGTATTCACCTGAAAAGAATCAAACTTTTGTACCAAAGAAATAATTTGTTATGTTAGCGTATTTAAAGCGTTTGCCTAATTTACTATAGCAGCCTTCTTGATGATTACACACTCATATGGTCATTGCATGGCATTCTCAAAAATTTCTTTCAACAATAACAATGCTTCCTCTATGGTTTTTCCCATTACAGAACCTCCCGCAGCTGCATCTATCATATTTCTAAAAGAGGGTTTTAACTCGTGATAAAAAATATACAAGTTTATATGTTCAAGAATGTCATGATGTGGATATTTTCTTAACATTGCCTTTAATCTTTTCCAAGCTTGATATACTGACTCAGTGTTAGTCTGTAACAAATTAGATATGTCTTGTCTTAACTTTGTGGTTTTTACAGGGGGAAAATATTTGTTCAAAAGTTTTTGAGTCATCTGATCCCATGTTGTAATAGATCCTTGAGGAAAACTTCACAACCAAGTCTTGGCGTCTCTTTTTAAAGAAAAATAAAATAACCTTAACTTGATTGCTTCGCGAGATACTCCATTATACTTAGCAGTTTTAACAAGTTTCAAAAAATCAATATCTAATGAACATACAAGATTGTTGAATTGTTTGAATCAGGACGTTCCTGATTTCAAAGTGTTTGCCCGGGGGTTTCGTGACACTAGATTCATAGTTGAAGTGGTCTAGTCTAGCATAATCCATTACGATTCTATTTGATTGCCCCACTTCATCAAACTGATCCTCTATGTGGACTGGCGGTAGAATTTTCAGTGGGTTGCGCTCTTCTACTTTTTGATTCTCCATTTCTTCACAATCTATGCTTTGATAAGATGAGGTTTTTCCGTTCCCGCGCAATCGAAAAAATCTTTTAATTTTATAATCGTAATTGACCAACTCTTTTGTAGAAGAGCATGTCATAAACTACTCAAAATTCTGAAAGTAAAGAAGATTAAAACTAGTTTCTAAAGTAGAACTAATAGTTAATAACTAAACTAAAGAGAATTTTAAAGATAATAGAAATAGTTAGTGG